ATGCACACTCACACCGGGAGGATGCGCAGGCGCGCCCCGGCCGGCCAAGACGGCGCTCCCCGATTGGCCCCGCGGCTGCCCGGCAACGGCGGCGGCGGAGCGGGGCCGGGAGCGGGGCCGGGCCGGGGCCATGTCGGCGCGGACGCTGCCGCTGCTGTTCCTGAACCTGGGCGGGGAGATGCTCTACATCCTGGACCAGCGGCTGCGCGCCCAGAGCATCCCCGGGGAGAAGGCGCGCAAAGGTGAGCGGCGCTCGGCTCCCTCCGCTCCCGGCGTCCCGGTGCCGGCGGCGCTCGGCTCCCTCGGCTCCCGGCGTCCCGGTGCCGGCGGCGCTCGGCTCCCTCGGCTCTCGGTGTCCCGGTGCCGGCGGAGCGCGGCTCTCTCCGCTCCCGGTGTCCCGGTGCCGGCGGAGCGCGGTTCCCTCCGCTCCCGGTGTCCCGGTGCCGGCGGAGCGCGGCTCCCTCCTCTCCCGGTGTCCCGGTGCCGGCGGAGCGCGGTTCCCTCCTCTCCCGGTGTCCCGGTGCCGGCGGCGCTCGGCTCCCTCCTCTCCCGGTGTCCCGGTGCCGGCGGAGCGCGGCTCCCTCCGCTCCCGGTGCCACCGGAGCGCCGGGAGCCGCTCCCGGTGTCCCCGGGCACGGCTCTGCCCCCGCTCCCGCCTGCCCGAGAGCGGCTCCGCTTCCAGGCGTGCCACCGAATGACAGAACGAACTAGGCTGGAAAAGACCTTTAATGTCACCTAGCCCAGCCCATGGCTGGCACCTCCTCATCAGCCAAACCCCAGCGCTGAGTGCCACCTCCAGTCCGGGCATGGTGATCCCACCGCCTCCCTGGGCAGACAGTTCCATTTCCCAATCGCTCTTTCAGTGAAGAATTTTTTTCCAGCATCTAAGCTAAACTCCCCTTGGCGCAGCTTAAGGCTGTGTCCTCTCCTTCTGTCATTCCCGGGTCCCTCAGGGACACGCTGTGCTGTCACCAGAGGATGCTGCGAGCCCACGGCCCCGGTGCCGCTCCGGGGCAGGAGTTTCCCTGCCCCCATTTCAGTAATTACCGCAGTAATTACCACGGCAATCAGCCCTCGGTGTTGGGTGCTCCCCACCGAGCAGCCCAGCCCGCTGGGTTGATCAGCTCGGTGAGGTTCCTTTGCTGTGAGCAGCCCGAGGTTGTTTTGGGAGGTTCTGACACAGAAGGAGAAAGTGGAGTCCGTGTCGGTGTTTCTGTGCTCAGTTCGGGGGTTAAAGCTTCACAAATGCACTTTTGCACTCAAAATAACTCAGGATTTGGTGGTGCCAGCCCGGCTCCTGGACTGTTTGGGGCAGAGCAGGTTGCTTTGCAATGGGAAGGAGTTTCCAGGATTAAATTTATAAATCTCATGCAAACACAGCACGTGTGATTGTGTGAAATTCAAATACCAGTACAGCTCCTGAAACCCTGGCTTTTATACAATCTCATTTGACCAAAATCCTTATACAAACAGAGCCTCGTGTCTTCGCTGGGGCATGAAACTCCAGCTCACAGCCAAGCACCTCTGCATTTACCACTTCAATTTAAAGCTTTGCTTTACAAGTCCTTGCACCTCTCTGTCCGGGGATGGGGAATGTGCCTCAGGAAGCTCGGTGATGTTTTAATTAAAAATCAGCTTGGTATGAGCTTGGTATTGTTATCCCTTCTGCCTGTCCTTTATGAAGTGCTAAACAACAAAGGGTTCACTGTGTAATTGTTGTATTGTTTGTGAGGGGGAAATTTGTAATTATTCATGTGTGTTCTGATGGGGGAATGATCGTACAGAAGTTTACTGCTGTTCATTCAGGGACAAGTTTAGGACTTTAGCTAAATTAAATCTTGGTGGAGTCTCTCAGCAGGAGAATTGGCCTGTTTTAGTTTGTCCACGCATGGATGTTTTTTTTTCTTCCAAAAAATTGTGTGTTAATTTCACTGAAGTGTGGTTCATCCACACTGAGGTGTTTGTTGATGCTTAAAGCTGTTCACTCAAATGTTGGTTATCTCCAAGTACAAAATGCAGCTGAAAACTACCCAAGCTCATGCAAAGGGTAAAAGTTGATGTGCACTGAAGCAGCAGGATTTTATGCAAAGGGTGGGTGATGTTCTCTTTCAGTGCTGAATGCTGATGAGACGAGACAAAATCCATCAGTTAGCTTTTTTTTTTTTTCTTTTCAGTTTATTTCTTTCTATTTTCTTTTCTTCTCCTTGCAACTCTTGTTCTTACATCTTGAACTGCTGTTTTGTTTTATATGCTTCGTGTAGATGAATGGACAGATGTGGACAGGAAACGAGGTACAGTAACTGCTGGCTGCATGCACCAGTCCAACCCCACGTGCACACCTGGGGCTCATCGTGCCTGAACACCTGAGGCTGCTCCTGCAGCCCTCAGGCAGTGTCAAAAATGAACAATAATGCTCACCTGGTCCTTAAATGCCTTTTTGACTGTAAATAAGTGAAAAAACGGACCATATCTTAAAATCGTATGGCCTCAAAAATCAGCTGTTAATATTTAACCAAGAATATAAATGGATCCAAACTTCTTATCTTCATGGTCTTGCCTGCAAAAATGGTATTTGTGTTTCTTTACCACTGTTTTCATGCAAGCATGTAATTGTGTGAGCATTGTGCAGGTCGTTTTTCTGCTTAAATGCAGGAATACCGGGTATATTCCATTTTGCTAAGGTTTTATCTGATGCATTGCTCAGGGTTTGGACAGGTGAACTCCAGGGATGATGGAAGGCATTCCCATCCCAGCTGCTTTACCCACCTGTGCTGGTGGTCACACCTGGCAGAGTCACCCCAAAGGAGCAGGTGCCCACAGCTCAGCCAGGCTCATCCTGGAGGGATCCTGAGGGTGGGATTGAGCCCTCGGCTGTTTCCCTCTGGAATCTGCCCTGGAACAGGAGCCTGCAGCAGAGGCTGTGCTAAGGAATGAGCAAATGAATCTCAGGTTTTTGCTCCGTGAGCATGAGCAGAACTTACAGCACTTCTGAGCAGCCCTTTTTCAACAGGGGTCAAGGTTATGATTAGTGTTGTGCAAAACAAGCATCATTTTAGTAGGCTTTAATATTTATTGGAGGTAAATGCTGATGTCCTGGAGTTTGCCCCAGATTTTTCCTTACCATTACAACCTGTTTACAAGCACACCCTTTAACTCAGAAGTCCAGGGACAGATTCCATCCCATCCCAAAGAAGGAGGAGCTGCCCAGAGCTGTGAGGCAGGGAGACAGGGCTGGCTCAGGGGCAGGTCCCAGGCTGACCCCTCATTCTCCTGGGAGAGAGAACCCTTTGCCTGTGCTCAGTGCTCCAGGGCATCTCAGGAGGGTTCTGAAGTCACCCCCAGGGGCTGGCACTGCTGGAGCCATGAGGAGATTCCCTGAGGAACCCTTTGCCTGTGCTCAGTGCTCCAGGGCATCTCAGGAGGGTTCTGATGTCACCTCCTGGGGCTGGCACTGCTGGAGCCATGAGGAGGTTCCCTGAGGAGCCTGTGGCACGCAGAGTGACTGTCCAGAGCTCAGCAAGTTCCTTCTGCTGCCCCAAACATCCTCCAGGAAGCACCAGCATCACCCAGGCCTGGCTCCAGCCCCGTGCCATGCATCCCAGCCATGCCAGTGGCACTGCTGGCACCAGAGACTTGTGGTGGGGAGGCCAAGGCCACCATCACCCCCAGCTCCAGTCCTACACATCGCACTGGCTGTACTGGTTTCCCTCCTCTCATCCCAGTTTAGATCTCCCCTCTCTGCTCAGTTGCTTCTTCTGTGTTGCTTGTGCCATGTCCCTGGGCCAGTGCTCCTGTGTCACCTGCCACGGCCACTCCAGGCCCCCCCTGAGACTTTTGCTGTGCCATTATCAAACGTGAGAGATTTATTATCAATTTGCCCTTTACCATGATTTTTTTTTAATGTCTTTCTCAGTTCTTTTTATAGCCCACACAAGAGGTTTTAATTTTCACAAGATAATTTATGTCTGTGGTTCACACAGACCTTCAATTCTGTTGAAAAATCAGTGTTTAAAAACTGGGAGGTGTTTATCTCCTATTGGTTTGGGTTGTTTGTGACTCCCCAAAGACAGAAGCAGTCTTTCTGTGGGCAGCACACACAAGCAGCTTAAAAACATTTTCCTTAATAGCAGTATAAAGCAGAAGTTCTTTTTTTTATCATAATTGATTCCTTGAAAAATTAACTAGATATTAATATCTAATAGTGCTAATATGTTTTATTTTCTCCATGAAAAATAGGGGATTTCTGCCTGAGATTGCAAGTAGGGATTCTTTTATGGCCAGCTTATTTGAAAGGGAGGGAGGAAGGAAGGATTTTTTTCCCATTTATAATGAGGTGTATTCTTAGTCCAGACTGGTGAGGAGCTGAGATCTGTCTGTGGTTTTGGGGTGTTTAAACCAGGACTAGGGAGCCCTGTTAGGTTCAGCACAGGGGCTGCTGAGCTGTGTGTGAGCAAGAACCTGTAACCAGCAGGTTTAGGGAGGAGAGGGAATCACTTCAGGAAGCCTCTGCCCTTGGGAACTCAGCTCTCCTGCCCAGGCTCCCAGCAATCCCCAGGGAGTTTTTCCTCTAGGAAGAGATGAAGTGACAGAGAAATTATCTTTATTTTGTCTGTTGGGGTAGGACAGGTGTGAAAAGCCAGGTGTCTGACCCCCCAGGGAATCACTAGGGCAATAATTCAAACCATTGGTCATTACCACCTTCTTTTTCTTCACTTCTTATTTTCCCTTTTTTTCTTTTTTATTTTTATTCAGAGATTTTTCTAATCCTCAAGAATTGTCTGGCATTATGAGCTTTGTAACAGTCATCTGCTTAGGAAAATCCACACTTGTACAGTACTCTGTGACCTGATGTATTCATTTACCTTTTTTTGATAGAGGAATAAATGTTTATTGATTATAACTCTTTAGAGTGTATCAGGGAGATAATTAAAGTGGCAGATCCAGCACAAAAGCTCAGGTGCTGCATCTGCTTGAAGCACTGCACAATGTTTTCCATCTTGTTTGCATTAAAATCTCAATAACCAGAGCACAGCCCTCACACTCAGCACTCCTGAGCTGTAAGAACTCCTCAGTAATAAAACAGTTCCATGGCTAAATTCACACATAAAAAAAATGAACCACAAGTAAGGAAGTTTGGAGTTCTGCATTTGAAACTCTAGGGCCTGCAGATGTTTCAGCTGTAAGAGCCCTGGAAGAATGAGTTGATATCAATTCCAGGGATATAAATGCTTTATTAAAAACCTGCCAGTGTTAATCTGATTGGAATAACGATTACAGAGAGCCCTGCAGGAGCTTCTGCTGCAAAGTTAAAAAATAGACTGATGGTGTCAGAGGGTGTTCAGGAACAGGCCCAGCAAAGATCTACCACAAAAGCCTCTCCTTAGGAAGCAGAGCTGCAGCTTTTTAAGATAATAACACATCAGAGCAGCCTACAAGCAACATTATTTAAAAATTAAAAGTGCCAACCGTAGCTGTGAAACCAGGGCAACAAAGCCAGCCTTATTCCCCCTGGGAAACAGGGACTGAGCCTTCAGCTCAGGTGGCATCTGTGCCCTGGGGACATCAGGTGGCTCAGCCCAGGTGGGGCTGGGGCAGTGCTGGATCCAGAGGTGCTGTTCCCCCTCTCCTGTCCCTGCATCCTGCTGTGACCCTGGGATGGACCAGGAACACGCTGTTCTGGATTTCTTGGTTTGGAAAGACAGGTGTCTGCTAAGGAAGGCAGGAGCCTCCCCTGAAATGGAAAAAAAATAAAAAAATAAAAAAGTAGACACCCCCCCTGCAGAATTGTTTTAAATTTGAAATTGAGGGGGGCTCTCAGGCAAAAATATGGGAGCAGGAATAACAGTTCTTTATTAGAGAAGAAAATAAAAGATAAAATAAACAATTCAGTGAACCAAAACAACCCTGACAGAGTCAGAATACAATCTGATACCCTGTTAATCAGGGTGCTGGCAGCAGTCTAATTAGGAATTGTGGCTGCAGTCCCTGGAGTGGCAGGTGTGGTTCTGTTGGAGCAGTGATCCTGTAGAAAAGGATGTAGTCTTCCTCAGAAGAGGCAGCTGTTCCTGTGGGAAATCCAGTGCAGGAAAAGCCGTGCTGGTGTCCCAAAAGCCCAGATTATATCCAGGTAGGAATGCTTGGCTCCTCCCTCTGGGCAGAGCATCTCCCAGTGGGATGTTACAGCTCTTATCAGTCACCAGTGACATTCCATGCCCCATTATCAGCAGGTGTCTCCCCTGAGGGAAGATTGGTTGTGGGAGAGATAAGGAAAAACTGCTCAATTAACAGAAAACAACTGCCATAGAGAGGACAAATGAAATACATCTTGCTTCTCAACCTGGGACACTGGAGCAAACCACAGAGCCTAACTTTGTCTTTGCAGTTATGAACGACATCATCAGCACCATGTTCAACAAAAAATTCATGGAGGAGCTGTTCAAACCCCAGGACCTGTATTCCAAGAAAGCCCTGCGCACCGTGTACGACCGGCTGGCTCACGCCTCCATCATGAGACTCAACCAGGCCAGCATGGACAAGGTAACAGTCCTGCTGCCCAGCCTGCCCCTGCTGCACTCCCCAGCTGCCCTTCACCAGTTCTTGTTGCAGCATTGAACCCGTGGCTTGACCATTTTGAAGTATTTTGGAGCAGCTTTCCATGTGAAAATGGTTCTCAGCCAAGGAAATCTGTGGTGGTATCAGCTGCTTCAGAATGATTTCTGCTTGAACGAAATGTTTGATCTCTGCTTGAGATAAATATTTGATTTGAACAGGTTCACTGAGCATTCCTTAAGAGTATCAGGTGTTTGCATATGTATTAAGAAGATAAACATGTATGATGTATGGATGTGGATAGATATCTGTATTTCTGTACTGACACCCACTGTCTTGCAGCTGCAGGTGTTGCAGTTATTCCCTGCAAACAGTGTATCCGCAGCCAATTTAGGAAAAAATGGCAGGAATGGGATTATCAGAGAGCCCTCCACCCAGGTGTCAGGGCTGCTGAAATTCACAGAATCACTGAGGTTGGAAAAGCTCTCCAAGGGCATCAAGTCCAAGTTGTGCCCAATCCCCACCTTGTCACCCAGCCCCGAGCACTGAGTGCCACTTCCAGGAATTCCTTGGACACCTCCAGGGATGAGGACTTCACCACCTCCCTGGGCAGCCCCTTCCAGTGTTTAATCAACATTTCCATGCAGAAATTCCTGCTGATGTCCACCCTGACACATCCAAAGGCCATTCCTTCTCCTCCAGTCCCTGTTCCATGGCAGCAGATCCCAACCCAGCCCAGCTGTCCCCTCCTATCAGGAGTTGTGCAGAGCCAGAAGGTCCCCCCTGAGCCTCCTTTTCTTCATGCTGAACCTCCTCAGCTGCTTCAGGTGCTGCAGCCCCTTCCCCAGCTCTGTTCCCTTCTCTGGACACGCTCCATCCCCTCGTGTCCCTCTTGCACTGAGGGGCTGAGAACTGGACCCACACTCAAGGTGTGACCTCACGGAGCACTGGTGGCATTGGAGACCCAGCTGGGAGGCTGGGGGTGGCACTGCAGAGGTCTTGTTTTTTAGAAAAGGCAGCTAAAATGGTCCCTTGTGCCACAGGCTGACTGAATCCCTCCCTCCATGCCCATGAGTTTCCTCTGACAGGACAAATGTCCCTGTGTTCCTTTGCAGCTCTACGACCTCATGACTATGGCCTTCAAATACCAAGTGCTGCTGTGCCCTCGGCCCAGGGACATTCTGCTGGTCACCTTCAACCACCTGGATGCCATCAAGGATTTCATCTCCGACTCCCCTGGCATTCTGAACCAGGTGGATGAGACCTTCCGGCGGCTGATTGAAGTAAGAATCCTCACAAAAAGGGTGGGACACACTGTGGTTTGATTTTAGGGGTTTTTTACCTCTTAAGAGATTAATTACTACATTGGAGGGGGTTGTGAGTCAAGTGGTATTTTTCTACTGGCCCAGTTTAAATCAATGTATTGCTTATTCAGCCTGATTTCAGCAGAAATTTTATCAGACTTCTAGTGGCAGACAATAATTATTGAGAATAGCCAGCAGCCCCCTTAGAGCATCTCTGCTGCCCCTGGATCAGAATATTCAGCTGTACTTGCTTGTTCCTCTTCCCTGGGTGGTTCATGGCACACCTTTAAACCCTTGCATGATGATTTTCTTTTTCTAGACCTACAACTGTCTCTCTGATGGTGAATTCCAGCTCATCAGGCAAACACTTCTCATTTTCTTCCAGGACATGCACATCAGGGTAAGAGCCCAATCTAACTAGGCAGGGAGAATGACAGGGAGTTTGGGGCTGGAATATAAAGAATATAAAGGAATCTGCTTATAAACACTGAAGGTTTGGGTCTGTTGCTTGTGCTTTTCAATCATCTTGATGTGCTTGTGATTGCACTGATTTCACAAATGGAGAATATGGAAAATGCTGAATAATTCTACAATATTAGGAAAAAAGGAATTTTTACTAGTGTGATTTGCTGATTGATAAATCCATTTTTCCTTTTAGAAGAAACTTGATAGGAAACCTGAGCGTGAAGTCTTGATGATCTCTAAACAAATTGGTGACACTCACATGCATGAACAGTAGTTTTTAATATAATATTTTTTTGTGTTAGGTCAGTGTGCCCATCCCCTGGTCCACAATTCCATATCTCTGGCTTTGTAAATACATCCCTACACACATCAAGAGCTCTGGGAAACCTTCCCCAACGTAGGCAGAGCTGCTCAGGCTCAGGTTTCAGGGAATTTGGATGGGAAGGTCCATAGAGGGGTGTAATGTTTGTGATGTCTGTAATGTCCTTTTGCAGGTCTCCATTTTCCTGAAGGACAAAGTGCAAAACTCCAACGGTCGCTTCGTGCTGCCAATCTCGGGGCCTGTCCCATGGGGCACAGAGGTGCCAGGGCTCATCAGGTGAGCTGCTGCCACGGGTGGGGCTGCCCAGCCAGGAGCATCTCCTGCCAGGGGGCTCAGGAATCCAGCTCAAACTGCCATTCCTCTTGCATGGATAGCTGAACCTCCAGTAAATTCTATTTAAGGAGCCTTTTTAAAAGTTATTATTTGTTATCATTACTATTTAATAATATTTAAAGGGTAGAATTTGGGACTGAGTCACCCAGCAATGAAATGCTGAGCTGCTTTTGGGAGTTTTCTATCCCAATAAATTAGCTATTAGTAATTTATCCCATAACAGAGGCATTTAGCAATGTACAGAATTACCATTATTATTCTAATTATACAGACTATTATTATAATGTAAATATAAAATATTTCTATAACATAACATATAATATATATTATAATTATATATAATATATAATTATATATATTTTTATAATTATAATACAAATAATAGCTATAATTATTATATATACCATATAAATATAATGTATGATTATATATTATATTTCAAATTATTTATAATGTAACATAATATAAAACTTTATTATTATTATCATTATTATTATTATCATTATTATTATCATTATAATTATAATTATACTACAGAATAGTGTTTTATTCCCCTCGTGCAGAAAGCAGAGGAATTAGGTACTAAAATCAGGACTGAAACTACTAAATATTTCCATAATTCCTCGTTTTTAAGGATATTCAATCACAAAGGAGTGGAAGTGAAAAGGGCCGAGTTCACCACTGCTGGGAATTACGTTACTCCACAAAGGGAAGGATCTTTTGAGCTTTATGGAGACAGAGTCCTCAAACTTGGAACAAATATGTAAGTCATTTTTGTTCTGTGTAGAAACCTGAACCAAATGCTAATGGATTGTTCAGAAGCACATCTTCAGCCTGTTGTGGTTTTGTCTTCTTTTGCTATTAATTAGCAGATTGACTTTGTTACAAGGTGCTGTCTTGCACCAGGACATGTGTGGACAGTGTATAAAGAGCTGCAAAAAACAGCAAAACTTTGATTTATGTGTTGCTGTTGAGGCAGGACGGGAATGAGAAGACTCTGACTTAGAAGGTTGTGAGAGTAAAATTCTGGTTTATTTAAAATATACTGCTTTTTTATACAGAGTTTTGTGAGGGCCATTTTCATTGGACCTGAAGTGAAAATAACTTACACTATTGGTGCAAAGTGCTTGACACACAGTGATAGAACTTAACTATAAACAATGTGAACAACAAGAGAGATAAAGAATTATTTACATTCTTTTCCAACTCTTTCCCAGGCTTCTGCCTGGCTAGAAATTCTCCGTTTCTCTCTTTCACTGAATCTAAGAACCACATTTATGTCCACAGTGGAGCTGAAGAAAGAGTATTCTCACCTGCTGCATCTCATGTGAAATGTGATTTAATGTCACAATTAATTTCACAGTCAAGAAATCCTCTCTGTTCTCTGTGTTTGCCTTAATGTACATTTTCCATCCAAAGAGATCTGTGCTCTTTCTCACAGCTTTGTCCCTCACACACCTTACTGCCTCAGTATTGCACCACACTGAGCTGTAATTTCCCATTGCAATTGCTCAGTCTTCAGGAAAATATTCCTAAAATTCTGCATCCTCTGCTGCTCCCTCTGGTTGCTGTCCCTGGTCCCAGAACAAGCTGTTCTTCCCCAGGTGTGTTTTCCCTCCAGGTACAGCGTGACCCGGCCAGTGGAGACACACACGTCAGGATCATCCAAAAACCTGGCATCCCAGGCAAAGGTCAGCCTTGTCCTCTTCCTGTCACTGCTTAAACTGCCCAAATTCTGAGTCTGCAGATATGGGATAAGTTCAGGGAAGCTTTTCTGTTGTTCTCAGAGCCTCATCCAATGCTCCCCAGTCCTCTGAAACCAGGGCACATTTTCCCAAAGAATCCACATGCTCGTGCAAGGATGTGCTTGCTTCTGTTTTGATCTCCTCAGAAAACAGAAAGTTGGCTTGACAGATTTCTCATCTGTCCAGTAGCTTGTGCTGAGTCTATAAATTCAAGCAACCATTTCCAGTATCGAGCTGGTGATTACTGTGGTTGTCTTGCACAACCTGTCCCAGGAATAACAGGAAAATAAATGTGTTTATATCCCTCTGAAGGAGATGTATGGAATATCAGGAATATATGAAGGACATAGATGGAATATCAAAGCTCCTTGCAGCCCCAATCTCCCAGGTAATTGCCCAATGAGCCCATTGCTGTTTCCTGCAGGAGAACATAGCCCCCAACCCTCTTGCTAAAGAAGAGCTGAACTTTTTGGCCCGGCTGCTGGGAGGTTTGGACATCCAGAAACCCGCTGGTGGCGAGTCGGGATTTCGGCTGAACTTGTTCACAACTGACGAGGAGGAAGAGTATGCTGGAGTCCTTCTGGGTTTGGGTTTGGGTTTAGTTTTGGGGTGCCCTGTGGGGAGCCCTGGAGACCAAAGCTAGCCCTCGAGAGCTGTAGGGTCAGAGCAGCACATTGTTGTCCTGCTCCAGGATGTTTCCCTGCAATGCAGCTTTTCTCCAGTGCCACTGGACAGAAACATCTCCTCAGCCATTTTAGCAGGATGTTTCTATCTGCTTGTCTCTGCTGCAGAAATGTCCCTGCTCTTCTACACTTAACAAAAATATCTAGGACAGGGAGAAGCCTCCAAACTGGGGTGAATACATTAATTTGCCAAATAGGAACAGAGACATTACCAAACTTAATGGAATTCCAGAATGGTTTGGGCTGGAAGGGAACTTAAGGGTCCTCTAACTCTACTCTGCTGTGGGAAGGGGCACCTTTCAATAGACCAGGCTGCTTCAAGCCCCATCCAGTCTGGTTCTGTGAGCAACCTCTGAGCATCATTTATGCCTACAGGAGCCTCATTTTATCGTTTCCTCATACATCTTCATGGGATTAACCACTGTTTCCATGTTTTTAATCAAGACACGCTGCACAGACCAGACCCGAGGAGTTGTCCTACAAGGTTATCAACATTGAAGCCACGCAGGTACGTAACACGTTTCACATCACTGGTTCTCACCGTCCCTGCCTTGCTAAGGACCGTGTTTCACCCAGAACAGTGATTTAAAAATACATTTTTTCCCATTTCACTTAAGCTCTTAACTAGGTAATTGCCAATTTTCTGCCAAGACAGCAGAATTGGTGAATATTTGCTAAGAAACCTTGAACCTTACAAACACCAGAGCAGGTTTTTAACTGATTTGGGTGTAGAAGGGGCACGTCCCAGTCCAGCCCAGCTCAGTCCCGGCCGCGGTAGCGGGACGGGGGCATGGCGGGGCTGAGCACGGTGTCACGTCCCAGTCCAGCCCAGCTCAGTCCCGGCCGCGGTAGCGGGACGGGGGCATGGCGGGGCTGAGCACGGTGTCCGTCCCGCAGGAGCCGGGGCAGGGGCTGAGCGCGGTGTCTGTCCCGCAGGAGCCGGGGCAGGGGCACCGGCGGGGCTGAGCGCGGTGTCTGTCCCGCAGGAGCCGGGGCAGGGGCACCGGCGGGGCTGAGCGCGGTGTCTGTCCCGCAGGAGCCGGGGCTGGGGCTGAGCACGGTGTCTGTCCCGCAGGAGCCGGGGCTGGGGCACCGGCGGGGCTGAGCGCGGTGTCTGTCCCGCAGGAGCCGGGGCGGCGGGCGGAGCTGTCCCGCATCCTGGGCGAGCTGGACGTGGCGGAGCCGCGCCCGGACAGCGCCGAGAAGGGAGAGGATCTGCTGGCACTGATGGACGGGCTCTGAGCAGGACACGGGGACACCGGGACAAGCGGACATCGGGACATTGCAAGACGCGGACATCGGGACATTGCAAGACGCGGACACCGGGACAAGCGGACACCGGGACACACGGACAGCATGATATGAGGACACCGGGACACACGGACACCGGGACACACGGACACCGGGATATGCGGACAACGGGACATGGGGACAACGGGGCACAAGGACACCGGGACACACGGACACCAGGACATGGGGACAATGAGGCATAGGAACACCGGGACACACGGACACCAGGACATGGGGACAGCGGGACATAGGAGTATTGGGACACGTGGACACCGGGACAGTGGAACATAGGGATGTTAGGATACGTGGACACCGAGACATGGGGACAACAGGGCATAGGGACATTGGGACATGCAGACACTGAGACATGGGGACACCGGGACTTGGGGACACCGGGGCACGCGGACAGCGGGACACAGGGACAATGGGGACACGCGGACACTGGGACATGGGGACAATGGGGCATGGGACAGCGGGACACGCGGACACTGGGGACAATGGGGCATGGGACAGTGGGACACAGGGACGCTGGGGCATGCGACAGCGGGACATAGGGACACTGGGGACAATGGGGCATGCGACAGCGGGACACAGGGACACTGGGGGCATGGGGACAATGGGGCATGGGACAGGGGGACATAGGGACATTGGGACAGGCGGACACCGGGACACGTGGACACCGGGACACAGGGACACTGGGGACAATGGGGCATGGGACAGTGGGACACAGAGACACTGGGGACAATGGGGCGTGGGACACAGGGACACTGGGACAGGCGGACACCGGGACACGTGGACAGTGGGGACAATGGGACATGGGACAGCGGAACATGGGATATTAGGACAGGCGGACACCGGGACACAGGGACACTGGGGACAATGGGGCATGGGACAGCAGGACATAGGGACATTGGGACAGGCGGACACCGGGACACGTGGACAGTGGGACACAGGGACACTGGGGACATAGGGACACTGGGGACAGTGGGGCATGGGACAGCAGGACATAGGGACATTGGGACAGGCGGACACCGGGGCACGCGGACAGCGGAACATGGGATATTGGGACACGCGGACACCGGGACAGCGGGCACGGCGCGGCAGCGGGCGGAGCCGGCCCGCCGCTTCCGGGCGGGGCAGGGGCGGGGCCGCGCGTGCGCGAGGGGCGGGGCGGCGCGGCGAGCGCGCGGGAAGGCGGCGGCGCGTGAGTGCGGGGGGGGACGGGGACACCGGGACCGGGGACAGCGGGCGGGGAGGGGCTGGGGGCACGGACAGGGCGAGGGGGACGGGGGGGCGTGCGGTGGGAGTGCGGGGTGGGGTGAGAGCAGGTGGGTGTGAAAGGGCCGCGTGTGCGCGGCTGGGGTGCGTGTGCAAGGTGAGAGTGCAAGGGCGCACACAGCGTGTGTGCGTGCAGGGCAGCGTTTGGGGGTTGGTACGGCGTGCAGTGTGCGTGCAAGGGATGGTCCGTGGGCAGGTGTGCGTGCAGGGGATGGTCCGTGGGCAGGATTTGGTCCGTGGGCAGGTGTGTGTGCAGGGGATGGTACATGGGCAGGTGTGTGTGCAGGGATTGGTCCGTGGGCAGGTGTGTGTGCAGGTGTGTGTGCAGGGGATGGCCCGTGGGTAGGTGTGTGTGCAGGGATTGGTCCGTGGGCAGGTGTGTGCGCTGGTGTGCGTGCAGGGGATGGTCCGTGGGCAGGATTTGGTCCATAGGCAGGTGTGTGTGCAGATGTGTGTGCAGGGGATGGTCCAAAGGCAGGATTTGGTCCATGGGCAGGTGTGTGTGCAGGGATTGGTCCGTGGGCAGGATTTGGTCCATAGGCAGGTGTGTGTGCAGGTGTGCGTGCAGGGGATGGTCCGTGGGCAGGTGTGTGTGCAAGGATTGGTCCATGTTCAGGTGTGTGTGCAGAATTTGGTCCATGGGCAGGTGTGTGTGCAGGGGATGGTCCATATACAGGTGTGTTTGGAGGTCTTGGACCACGGGCAGGTGCATGGGCAGGATTTGGCCCATGAGCAGGTGAGTGAGCACGGGATGGTCCATGGGTAGGTGTGTGTGCAGGGGTTATTCCGTGTGCAGGTGTGCGTGCAGGGGATGGCCCATGTACAGGTATGTGTGGAGGGCTTGGTCCATAGGCAGGTGTGTGTGCAGGTGTGTGAGCAGGATTTGGTCCATGTTCAGGTGTGTGTGCAGGGGCTGGTCCATGTTCGGGTGTGTGCGTAGAGGTTGGTCCGTGTGCAGGTGTATGTGCAGGGGTTATTCTGTGGGCAGGTATGTGAGCAGGATTTGGTCCATGGGCAAGTTGTGTGTGCAGGGGTTATTGCACGTGCAGGTGTGTGTGCAGGGGATGGTCCATGCACAGGTGTGTGTGCAGGGGATGGTCTGTGTGCAGGTGTGTGTGCAGGGGATGATCTGTGTGCAGGATTTGGTCTATGGCCAGGTGTGTGTGCGGGGGATGGTCTGTGTGCAGGGCTTGGCCCACGGACAGGTGTGTGTGCAGGGGCTGGTCCGTGTTCAGGGGCTGGTCCGTGTGCAGGTGTGTGTGCAGGGGCTGGTCTGTGTTCAGGGGCTGGTCCGTGTGCAGGTGTGTGTGCAGGGTTTGGCCCACGCACAGGTGAACGTGCAGGGCTCAGCCCATGGGAAGGGACTGCTCGGTGTGAGGCACAGCAGGTGGCTGTCCCCAGCCCCTGTCCCCAGCCCCCGTCCCACCACAGCCGCCATGGAGGTGAGCCACTCGCTGAAGGAGCGCACCATCGCCGAGAACAGCCTGGTGATCCTGCTGCAGGGCCTGCGCGGCCGCGTCACCACCGTGGAGCTGCGCGACGAGAGCGCGGCCGCGGGGCGCGTCACCAGCGTGGACGCCTTCATGAACGTGCGCCTGGCCGAGGTGACCTTCACGGACAGGCGGGGCGCCGTGTCCCAGCTGGACGAGCTCTTTGTGACCGGCAGGAACATCCGCTACGTGCACATCCCCGACGAGGTGGACATCCGGGCCACCATCGAGGAGCAGCTGCAGGCCATCCACAGGGTGCGCTACTTCGGGGGCCGCGACAAGGGCCGCAGGGAGTTCCCTCCTGCCAAGCACAAGTGAGGAGCTGGTGCTGCCCACCGCAGCCAGCATGGACCAGGCACGGGGCTGGCATGGAGGTGCCCCTTTGATGGACTGCCAGCTCCCTCCATCCCACACAACATCCCCCAAGGAATGTTTTCTCCCAGGGACTTCAGGGTCTTGCTGTTCCCCACACCTGCAGAGGAGCAGGACTGGTTTTTGTAGTGAATAACACCACTTAAAGGCTCTGTGGTCTCTCTTCTCATTTCCTGTTCCATTGGCAGCTACTCGTGTCCCTCCTCCAATGGCCAAAGGAGCGGAGCTGCCATCCCACTGCCCCTGGCTCAGGCTTTCCTTGCCCGCTGAGCAAAGGACTTGCTGTCACCAGCATGGCTACCCTGGGAGCTGGAGCTGTTGGTGCTGAGCTGGGCAGGGGCTGGTTCTGGTCTGTGCTCAGAAGAGAGCGAGATGAAGGGGAACATGCAGAGGAAGAGGCAGCATCGTCTGCCTCAAAAAGCAGGAACGTGCTTTACCAGGATGCTGGCACTGCCAGCTCCTCTGCTTCCTGCCCCTCCATCACCAAACTCTGCCGTGCTACCAAAGTCTGCAGCCCTCCTTGGCCAGTTCCCACAGGGACCCGCGGGACACGGAGCCGTGTGGCCTCTGCGAGCGGAGCTGGTGGCTGTGCCCCAGGGGTGTGTGTTTGCACAGCCCTGTGGCTGGGCAGCAGCACCGGGCAGAGCGGGGAGCCCAGCCCAGAGGGCTCCAACCCCGCTGGTCCCAGCCCGGCGCTCAGAGCGTGGGGGTTCTGTGGTCCCAGTCTGGGGTGTTCCAGTTGGGGGGACCCAACCCAGGGTGTCCCAGTCTGCAGGTCCAAACCCAGGGTGTCCCAGTTCAGGTGTCCCAGTCTGGGATATCCCAGCCTGGGATGTCCTGGTCTGGGGTGTCCCAGCGCAGGGTGTCCCAGTCTAGGGTGTCCCAGTTCAGGGTGTCCCAGTATGGAGGTCCCAATTCGGGTTTCCCAGTTCGGGGGTCCCGGTTCGGGTTGTCCCAATTTGGGGGTCCCGGTTCGGGTGTCCCAGTTCGAGGGTCCCAGTTTGGGTGTCCCGGTCCGGGGTGTCCCAATTTGGGTGTCCCAGTTCGGGGTGTCCCAGTTTGGGGGTCCCGGCTCGGGTGTCCCAGTTCGGGGTATCCCAGTTTGGGTGTCCCAGTTCGGGGTGTCCCAGTTTGGGGGTCCTGGCTTGGGTGTCCCGGTCCGGGGTGTCCCAATTTGGGGGTCCCAGTTCGGGGGGGTCCCGGTTCGGGTGTCCCAGTTCGGGGTATCCCAGTTTGGGTGTCCCAGTTCGGGGTGTCCCAGTTTGGGGGTCCCGGCTCGGGTGTCCCGGTCCAGGGTGTCCCAATTTGGGTGTCCCAGTTTGCGGGTCCCGGTTCGGGTGTCCTGGTTTGGGGGTCCCGGTTCGGGTATCCCAGTTTAGGGGTCCCAGTTCGGGGTGTGTTTGCGGGTCCCGGTTTGAGGGTCCCGGTTCGGGTATCCCAGTTTAGGGGTCCCAGTTCGAGGTGTCCCAGTTTGCGGGTCCCGGTTCGGGTGTCCCGGTTCGGGGGTCCCGGTTCCGCCGGGCGGGGCTCTGTGGGCGGGGCCTGTGTGCTCTGTGGGCGGGACCATCTCGACAAGCCCCGCCCCTTGGCCAATCACGGCGCGTTCGAATCTCCCGCGTGCTCACCAACCCTGCGGGCTCCTGGCCCAGGCCTGAGCCAATCAGCGATGGCTTCATCGCGCCACAGCCAATCAACGCTCGCTGCTTGCTTCCCTCGCCTCTGCACGTCCTAACCAATCAGAGCCAGCCGCAAAACCCGGTCCGGGCCCCGAGCTCTCCTCCAATCACCGCCCGCGCTGTCGCCGTCGCCCAATCAGCGCCGCCATTTCCCCGTTCCGGCGGCGGCCGGCAGGGGGCGGGCTGGCGGCGGGGGGGCGGTGGCGGCGCGTCACTTCCGGTGCCAGGCGGCCGCCGGAGCGGAGCGAGGCCGGGCCGGGCCGGGCCCGGGGCCATGGGTGAGTGAGGGGCGAGAGAGCGGGGAGCCGGGACAGCGTGAGTGAGGGGCGAGAGAGCGGGGAACCGGGACAGCGTGAGTGAGGGGCGAGAGAGCGGGGAGCGAGAGAGCGGGGAACCGGGACAGGGTGAGTGAGGGGTGAGAGAGCCGGGGGAACCGGGCCCGCGGGGGGAATGGGGCGGGCTGAGGGGAGAAGCGGGGATCAGGTGGGACATGGCCCCGGTCCCCGTCCCCATTCCGGTGCCCCTGTGCGCTGGACCGGGCGCTGCGGGGAGACGCGCCGGTGGTACCGTTCATGCACCGGGCCTCGACGGGACCGGGCCGGGGCAGCCCCCCAGGTGCTTGGGGGCTTGGCTGCCCCGCTCGGCTCGGTGCTCTCCAGGCCGGGGCTGGGTTTGAGCCCCGCGGGGGCTGGGGCGGTGCTGCCAGCACGGTGGCAGGTCCGTCCGGGACCCGAAGGAAGCACAGCCCGTGACTGGGGTCACGGTCCAGTCTGGGCAGGAATCTTTGAATTTAGACTTTCGGGAGCTGTATGCGGAGGAGGAGCCTCGTGTGCCTCAGCAGTGAGTAGGTGAGGGCTGTGCCTCTGGGTGAAGGTGAGTAACATCAGCAGGTGTCAGAGCAGGGACAGACCCTGCCCTGCACTCCGTGGGAGCTCACCTGAGGGGCTGGGGCACCTCCCACCCCCAGAGCCAGGTGCTGTCCCTCTCTGGTCTGGCCTGTGGGAGCCCTGCTGCCTGTGCAGTGCTGACGGTGTCTCACTGCTGGGGGAACCTCATGGGGCATCGTCTCCACCCCTGTAGGGGGGATTTAGGGTTGTGCCCATCCAGCTGCTCCCTCCTGCCCAGGCTGTGCTGAAATGTGCTGCACCAGAGTTGGGGATTCAGTTCTTTGCTAGTTTAGAGCCTTAATGGCTAAAAGGCTTAACATCTGCTGGTATGAACAGGTGTGCTGGGGGTCTCGGGCTGCAATCCCATATCCAGGAGGAGCTGGAGAAGTCAGAGCAGAGGCCATTGCCTGATGTGGTGGGGCTGAGCCACCACCCCTCTGCCCTGTGCTGTGGGACAGATGGCTGCTCTGAGGCAGCAGGGACACAATGGGGCACCCAGGTGAGGCACCTGGCACCCAGGTGAGGCGTGGCCTGAGGGACAGCACGGGAGCACTCACCTGCTGGCATGGAGCCCTGGGCTGGCAGCACTCAGGATTCAGGACATATTTCCCCATTGCTGGAGGGCTCGTGCTGCATCCTTTGATTGTTTCTCTGTGGTATCCATGCTGAGGGATTGATCTCATAAGTGTGCTCCTTAGAAGCAAAGTTCAGCTGGCCTGTGGCCCTCAGGATGTTTCAGAGCTTGGGAGAGGCAAGGGAAGCCTCATAGGTAGCAAGCTGTGCTGTGATTCAGCACAGAAAAGACACCAACCTGTTGGAGCGAGTCCAGAGGAGGCACCAACATGATCAGAGGGCTGGAGCACTTCTGCTATGAGAGAATTGGGGTTGTTCAGCCTGGAGAAGAGAGCCTTCAGGGTGACATAACTGCCCCTTCCAGTGCCTGAACGGGCCACAAGAAAGATGAACAGAGACTATTCACAAGAGCCTCAAGTGACAGGACAAGGGGGCATGGCTTTACACTGACAGGGGGCAGGGTTAGATGGGATATTTGGGAGAAATTCTTGCCTATGAGAGTGGGGAGGCTCTGGCACAGGTTGCCCAGAGAAGCTGTGACTGCCCCATCCCTGGAAATGTTCCAGGCCAAGTTGGACAGGGCTTGGAACAACCTGGAGTAGTGAAAAATCTCTTTACCCATGGCAGGAGGGTAGAAGGGTCTTTAAGGTTCCTCCCAACCCAAATTATTCTGTGACTAGGAATAGGAACAGCCCTGAGAATTGTGCCTGACCTGCCCACGGAGCTCAAGGGATGTTACCTGCACAGAGGCTCCAGGCAGGTACAGTGTGTGTCTCCTTCCTGCCTGGGACCTCTTGCTGGACAGACTAGGCTCTGTGTGGCCATTTTCTGTGTGAAACAGGCTGTTTTGGTTAATATTTTTTCATGAGTGTGCAGTTCCTGTCAGTGTGTTGTCACACTGCAAACCCCAGTAGCGTAGGCCTGGCAATGTGTGCAGGTAACTTCAACACGTTTGTCTCCAGGTAGGGCCAGGTGAGTCACTGCTGAAAGAAACTGCAGCCACACCTTGCTGGGAAGTGGCAGCACGTGTGTGGGTCACACTCTGTGCACACAGAGGTCCTGCTGCAGGGGCTTATAGCATATTGATAGTGTCAAAAGCAATCAGTGAGAAATTAAACCTTGTCATACAACCCACTGCTCACCCCTGGTGGGGTTTGGGAGGTGAGCACAGCCTGACTGCAGGCACAGACCAGGTCAGGGACTCCTGTGCTGGGGCAGCAGTGCAGCCTCAAGTGCTGCAGCTGCATTTCCAGGCTGCTGCTGTGAGGGTGTCGTGCTGGAATGAGGATTTTTCCTGGTGGATGTGGCCTGTGCTGCAGCACGAACGGGTTAAGCTGAGGTTGGTGTTTATGTAACCAAAGAGGGAACTCCCAGAGATGAGTCCTTGGCTATCTCATGTGTTGATGCATCAGAAGGGCTTGAAGAAAGCCTGGCTTGTTGCTTGCGCCGTAATTACGCACTGGAAGCCTGTGCTTCAGAGTTTCCCTGGCTGCCGGGGGGGCAGCCAGGATGGAATTTGCTTTCCCTGATGTGTGACTTGGCCTGTGGAAGCCTTTTTTGTCCCTGAGGAGTTGGAGACTGACCACAGCTGGATGTGGGTGGAGGTAAGGTGTGCTGGGCTCCTGCAGGGGCTCCCAGGTCTGGCTGTGCCTTGTGCCTGGGATTCAGCTGATCCACAGGCTGGGCTGAGGAAGGAGGATCTCCAGTGAGGCGGCTCAGAGGTGTTCCTGTCTCCCAGCTTGTAGAGCTCAGCGAGTCCAGGCTCCCCTGGGTGCCTTCCAACAGCACAGGGCTGTCCCAGCACCCCAGGATTCTTCCTACTCCTGTGGGCAGAGAAACTCTGTGCCTGGTTTTGAGCGAACTTCTCGCTTAGGGAAGAAGTTGAATGAGTCTCCTCTCGGTTCCAAGAACCCTGTGAGTCAGGGCTCTGTTTCGGGAGCAGGCTTCCCTTCCCGGAAGAGCAGCGGAACATAGGCTGGACTGAGTCATCCAATGGGCTTTTTTTATATGTATCTA